GACTGGTCTCTTCTGGGCATTCTTTACCTTGGCAAAGCCAGAAGACTAAGAAGCTGGAGTCCCAGCTCAGTCAATTCTGAGTCGTGGGCAGTCACAGGCTTCCACAAGCCTCAAGTGCCCCATTTGTTCAGTGGGGCAGTAGTGCCGTCAGCACAGGGGAAATAGCAGCCTCCCGTCTGTAATGCTGGTGAAAAAGCACTTTCTAAGTTGTCAGAGACTCCATGGATACTTATTTTTGTGATTGTTTTGTCTGGAGCCGGTGTGATTAGCTTCCCTAGACCTCAGAAAACCTGTCCAGTGGGTGTGAGGGGGCATTAGGTGGCTAAATAGGGGACATTAGTGGGGGACCCCCTCCTTATAAGGGCCTGGCTCCCACTTCTCCCTCCTTAGACCCCGTTCCCAGCTGAGGCATGGGCTGGGCTGTACCAGGCCCCAGGTGGAAGGGAGGCCACCAGGCTTTCACCCAGTCTAGCTCTGGGGACCCTGGGAAAAGGAGCTGGGAGGCTCTGCTCGTGCGCTGTGTGCCTGCCCGCCCACCCACCGCCTGCTGCAAAGCCCGGAGCCGCCGCTGGGAGAGGAAGTGCATTCGGTTACCAATCGGGTTATTTTCATAACGGCTGTCTCAGGCTGCGGGGAGGAGGGTGACAAGGGGGAGGGGGCAGAGGAGCAGCCACGGCCGCTCACTCTCCAAACTAGGACTTGCTCAGCAGAGGCCGGCGGCCCGGAGCTGGAGCCAGAGCCTGGCCTCGGGGACCCCAGCTCCCGCCTGCTTGCCCCACTCCTGCCTGCGCCCTGCCTTCCAGATCAGGTCAAAAGGGGCCCCCAGCCCCTCCTTGCCTTCTGCTTCCTCCCTCTATATCTGGCTGGGGGGGTGTGGGGAGGGTGGGATCGGGTGGACCCAAGACTCACCATCCATCCCTAGGCGAGGGGCCTGCCCTGCCAGGTTCCTGAAGCTGATGGAAAAGCGTCCTGCCAAGCTCCTGCGAGCCAGGGCAGACCCTGCCAGGTAAACACTCACTGGCCTGGTGGCCTTCTTACCACCCAGCCTGGCCCACCTGCTCCCTGGGGTACATTTTGTTGTTTTTGGCAAGATCCCTGTGGTGAGTCTCAGCCTGGGAAGGCAGGACCCTGCCTCTCCAGCCCCCAGGCTGACCTGGGAGGGGCTGGCCTCCCTTCCAGCTTCCCCACCTCCTTCCCTCCCACCCAGGGTCTGTAGGAGCAGAGCTGCGGGGGCTCTGGGGAGACAGCTGCAGGTCCTTGCTCTAGGGCTGCCAGAGGTGGGGACACCATGCACCATGCCCAGTCTTCACAGAGCAGAAGGCGGACCAGGCCTTCCCCACGGCTTAGAGTGGGCACTCTGGCTGAATCCCATGGGGTATCCTGTGAGAGCAACTCTGGGAACCAGACCTGGTGCCAGGTGCAGAGGGCATTCCTCATGGCACAAATGGATACCCAGGTGGCACCTACAGCCGGCTGTGTTCCTCATGCGGGGCTGGTGGCCACCCTAGACACTCCTTCCCTTTCCGGGCTCCCAGCCTCCCTGTGGGCAGACAAGCCCCAGGAGGCAGCAGTCACAGGCTCTGGTGTCTGTTGTGGGCACAGGCCCTGCCAGGCACCGGCTGTCTGCCAGGTATCGCCAGGTGCTCTCCCTCGGTCATCACATCCAGACCTCCTTTATGCCAGCCTTCTGAACTGGGTAGTGTGAGCCCCATTTTGCAGATGAGAAAATTGAGGCTCAGAAAGATTAGTGGATCAGCCTAGGGCGGCAGTGGCAGATTTGGGATTCCAAAGCCCTTGAAACTAGCATAGGGCATGAGATGGCCTGGGCTGGAGGTGGCCTGTCCGCTCTAGCAGTAGCCGATAAAGCTCTCCGGCCTGCCCACCTCCATGTCAGCCCCTGCAGCTTGGCCGCCTACAGCCGCTGTTCAGCAAGGGTGCGTGGCCAGACACCGCTGATCTTGTCGCCTGACATCCTCTGTCCTTTCCCAGGCCCTGTCCTTGTTGGGCCCCAGAGCCGGCCAGAGGTTAATGGGGTCCCTGTGTCCTTTCCCATCCTGTCCCTGTTGGTGTGACAGGCCCCCCGTCTGGAGACTGAGGGACAGCCATTTTGCTGTGCTCTTGGGTTGAAGCCCTCTGGGTGACCTTTACACGTGCTGTGGTGAGTTGAGGTGACCGAGAGTACGAGTTGAGAAGCCGCTGTCATGCAGAGCTGTGCTACAGGAGAGGCCCAGGCCCAGGAGAAGCCCCAGCAAAGATAGGAAGTGAGGAGTCAGGCTCTGGCTGACCAGGGGACAGGGGTTTCTATGGAGACCAGAGGAACAGGAAGCATAAGCCTTCAGGGAGGGGCACGGGAGCAGGAGGCATGGGTGCCCGGCTGGAGAGCCTGTTATAAAATGTCAACTCAGCCAGTCTGACAGTCTTCCCAGACAAACAAGGAAACTGAGGTCTATGCAGGGCAACCTGCACACAGTCACACAGCCCTGCCTGCCCCACTCTGCTGGGAGGGGCGGCCCCATCGATCGCTGAGGACACTCCTGGACAGATGTGGACCTGGGCTGCCTGGCGGTGTGTGGGGCCAGGCACCACAGGAGCACCTGGCTGCCACCCTTGTCTCTCGAGGGGGTCCTGGCCCCTGTTGTCAGGGCAGGTCTGGGGCTGCAGGCCGGGCCCAGCTCTCACCGCTGCCACGGGTGCAGCAGCACCTCCCCCCACTGACTGTGGCCTTTTGTTTTCTGGGTGACACTAGCATCAGGCGCTGTGTCCGGGTGACTAATCTCCTCCAGGCTGGGCAGCTGTCACAGGGCGGCCTGACCAGGCGGGCGGGGAAAGCTGACACCCTGGGGAGGGCTAGCAGGCTAGTGCCCTGACAGCAGGGGCAGCCGGACCTTCAGGCTTCTTTTCCCTGACACACAGCAGGCCCCAGGTTGGGAAGACCCAGCTTCAGGTCCCCACTGTGCCGCTGACTGGCTGTGGGACTGTGGCATGTTATTGTCCCTCTTGAAGCCTCAGTTTCCCCATCTCTAGAATGGAGCTTCTGGTCCTGCCTACCTCACAGGGCTGTGGTGAGGATCACATGAGGTGATAAAGTCCTTAGCACAGGGCCTGTCACATAGCAGGTGTTCATTATAATTCCCTGCCTGGTTCCCTTCCCTACCCCGTCCCAGCCTCATGGTCCAGGAGGAAGGACCCTGCAGCCCACCCCATTTCTGGGGCACAGGCTTTGCCGTTAGGTAGGCTTGGGCTTCAGCACTGGCTCCACGCTGGCTTGCCGTGGACTTAGGGCAGGTCACCTCTGCATCAGTTTCCTCATCAGGAACGCAGTGTGACACGGTACCTGTTTCTTGGGGTTACGGTTTCTGAAATGATCTAAGTGTTTCCCAGGAGCTTAGCCCAGTGCCTGACACATAGGGGCTCAGTAAATGTCAGCCGTGATGCTAGTGATTTAGGGGAGGCCCAGCGCTCTCCACCCATGCCTGCTGTCCTGCCTCTGCAGCTCCCTCCGGCCCAGGTCATCTGCTTTGAGTGGGGCACTATTTGGGGTCTAAGAGCACTGCCCTGACCTCCCTGTCATCTGAGGCAGCTGGGTACTCCAATAGGCAGGGACCAAGAGTTGAGCCATGCAGAACTCTGCTTTCCCAGGCACCTCCGCCCTGTCCATCTCTCCCTCAACACCCTGCACCTGCCTGAGGCTGCGCAAGACCCACGGGGCAGTAGCAAATCAAGAGTTCGGTGCATGGGAGAAGGTGCTAGATGTGCGGCCTGGGCCTGATTCTTTCAGCCCATCATCTCTGCCCTCATCCTCCCTCCTGCCCACCGTGTGTCCAGGTCATCACCCACCATGCCTAACTAATGCCAGCCTTCAGCGGGCCAGCCCTGGGCAGCACTGTCCCAGGGCTGTGACCTTAACCTCAGTGGCTGTCAGGGGCTAGGATGCATTCCCCACCAGTCTCTGCCCAGGAGAACACCCGCTGTGGGGCACAGGTGGCCTCTGGTACCTGGAGGCATTGCCACCCTGAACCATGCCAGGCGGGCTGCCCTTCCCCCTCTGTTAGGAGAGGTGAGGGCACAGGAGCCAGATGCCGGCTGTGAAGAAGGGAAGGGAGGGTGGAAGTGAGCTGGCAGAGGGAGCAGAGCATGAGTTCAGGATGGGTCCAGGGCGGTCCGGTCCAGGTGAGAGCTAGGATGAGGCCCACGGCTCCTGCCTCCCTGCAGGAGGGAGCTCTGGGCTGGGCAGTGTTTGGAATTGAGAGTATTGGGGCTTCTAGCATCAGCGCTGCAGAAGAATGTGCAGTCATAGGCTCCCTCAGCAGCAGAGCCAGAAGGGTTTCCAGCATCACCCAGCACTTCACCCTGGGGTGTCTGTACGTTGCCCTTCAGAAAGGTGAGACAGAGAAGTTAAGCACCTTATCAGCGCCTCAGAGATACAGGCACACACACCCGGAATCCAGGAGGCTTTGCTTTTGGCCCAAGCCTATTGTTTCGGCCCCTTGGGTGAAGAAGTCTGGGCAGTCCCTCTCCTGGGTAAGCCAGACAGCGGCTCTCCAGTTCCCTGACACCTAGTCTTCCCTGAGCCACACATTAGACCCTCTCTACTTCCAGGAGTCACCCTCAGCCTGACCCCAAGGCTGGGGGCCGAGCGACTCTGGGGGTCCTGTCAGGGCTGAGTTCCTTTGCAGAGCCTCATTTTGTTATCATAGCTTGGTTTGCGCCATGTCCCAGGAAGGGACACCTAACCTGCCCCATACTGGTGGCAAAACAAAGGCCCAACGAGTGGGCATCCCTGCCTGGAGCCCCACCATCCGTCCAGGCAGACCGACTCCCACTTTTCCTTTTCTTTCCCATCAGCTTCAGACGGGGCAGGTGGAGGCCTTTAGGCCTGGGGCTCTGTGGTTGACGGTGCGGGGACAGGGGAAGAAGGGGTAGCCTGAAGCACCCAGCTACCCAGGACTCCAGGGCTCCCCAGGGTACAGTGGGGGAGAGCATCAGCACCCCAACAGCTGTAAACATGGGCTCCCCTGAGCACCCCTGGGACCCTCGAGCACCCCACACCTGGAGGTCAGAGGCTGCAGTGACCCCTCCCTCCCTCAGGGGTTCCGTCCCTCCTCATGGGGCAGAGGCTTTGACTGGGCTCCCGGACACAGGACAGACCATGGCCTGGTCTAGCTCCTGATGCCCCTGGTCTCTGTGCCCAACAGCCACCCGCCTGCCATGGAGACCTTCTTTAGGAGACATTTCCAGTGGAAGGCGCCAGGCCCCGGAGAGGGGCAGCGGCGGCCCAGCGGCGTGGGGCTGCCCACGGGCAAGGCTCGGCGTTGCTCCCCCGCCGGGCAGGCCTCCTCCTCACTGGCACAGCGGCGCCGCTCCAGTGCCCAGCTCCAGGGCTGCCTCCTGAGCTGCAGGGTGAGGGCCCGGGTTTCCAGCCGCCGGCGCTCCAGTACCGTGCCCCCTTCCTGCAACCCCCACCTCATCGTGGATAAGGTGCCCACTCCACAGCCTACCTCTGTGGGGGCCCAGCTTCTGGGCACACCCCTGCTGTTGGCCGGGCTTGTGGGCATGAATGAGAAGGAGGAGGAGAAGGGTGTCCAGGAGGATGTGGCAGCTGGGGCATCGAGCGCCACCCAGCCAGGCACCAAGACACCAGGGCCACCCCTCTTTCGGGGCGCCCGGCCACTGTTGCCCCTGCCCCGATGCCTGCGCCGAGCCTCCTCCCACCTACTCCCCGCGGATGCCGTATATGACCACGCTCTCTGGGGCCTGCACGGCTACTATCGGCGCCTCAGCCAGCGGCGGCCCTCAGGCCAGCACCCTGCCCCTGGGGGCCGAAGAGCCTCAGGCACCACCGCCGGCACCATGCTGCCCACCCGTGTGCGCCCACTCTCCCGCAGGCGCCAGGTAGCCCTACGGCGCAAGGCGGCTGCACCCCAGTCCTGGAGCGCCCTGCTCGCGTAGGTATAGCTGCGGCTAGCAGGGCGAGTGGTGTGACCTCCTGTGGGTCTGGCCTGGGCAAGGGCCTTGAAGCTCTGCCTGGCCGAGGGTTCCTCCCCACTTGGGAACACTCTGGGCAGTGCTACGAAGCCAGCGCACCCCCAAAGGCCACGTCTCCTGCAGGGAGCTTCTCAGTGTCTGGGTCTTCTGGGAGGTCCTCCACCGTCCCTGTCACCAAGGTCGTGGAGAGGACAGAGGCCCCAGGAGTGGGAGGAAGCTGGGTCAGCAAGTGCTCAGCCCCCTCCTCAGCTGTCTTCTCCCCTGTAGGAAAGCCATCACCAAGTCCGGCCTCCAGCACCTGGCTCCCCCTCCGCCCGCCCCTGGGGCCCCGTGCAGCGAGTCAGAGTGGCAGATCCGGAGCACGGTGGACTGGAGCGTGAGTGCCTACATAACCATGGGTCCCAGCCCCGCTGGACTCTGGGCCGTGGCGCAGTTGTAGGGCAGAGGCACAGCAGGCAGCTGGGAGAGCCAAGCCTGGAAGGGTGGACAGTCGGGCAGATGGGACAGAGCAGGGTTGATCCAGGCTCTGGAGTGGGTCTGTCTTGGGAGAAGGTGGGTGGGCAGGGGCTGATGGGAGGGAGGGTTGGGCAGCCAGCGTGCACTGAGCAAGCCCATCCCGTGGCTAGGAGTCAGCAACATATGGAGAGCACATCTGGTTCGAGACCAACGTGTCGGGGGACTTCTGCTACGTGGGGGAGCAGTACTGTGTAGCCAGGATGCTGGTGAGTGCTCGCTGGGACACGCTGCCCCCTGCTGGCGGAGCCAGCACCTGCAGCCCTTCTGGGAAGGTGGGATGGAGCACTCTCCCTAGCACCCCTGCCTGCTGTGGATCACCCCAGGATGGTGAGGAGTGCAGAGGCTTTTTCCAGAGGCCAGGACTGGGATTCCCAGTGCACACAGAGGGCAGCTGTGCTGGGCAGGCAGCCTCCGAGATAGACTTACTGGTGCCTCAGGGGCCCTCTCCTCTTGTCCTGCAGCAGAAGTCAGTGTCTCGGAGAAAGTGCGCAGCCTGCAAGATCGTGGTGCACACACCCTGCATCGAGCAGCTGGAGAAGGTGGGTGGGTAGGTCAGCTTTTGCCTGCCCCTGCCCTTTGGGTGCTAAGGCCCTTGCAGTGCACACACACACCCACACGTTACACAGACGTGGCCTGCCAGGAGCAACCCAGCACTCAGGGGTGAAGAGTCAAGGACCCTGGAGCCAAATACCTGTGATCGAATCCTGGTTCCTCACTTACTAGCTGCTGCATCCCCACTGCCTAGAAGAAACGTGGCACAGAGTGGGTTCGCTGAATATCACTCGATGAGATGAATTGTCAAATCATGCATGCATGGCCCTTGTACCATTTCAGCATGTCCAAACTAGACCTTAGAAGAGGCCATTGGTTTGCTGAAGCTTCATAACACAGCTGTGGCTGGCGGCGGAGGTGGGGGTCCCCTACACCCTGCCTGTGAAGACCTTTTCCCAAGGTCCATTGTCCACTGTGTATCTGCAGCTGGGGACACATCTGGGCACTGTGCTTCTAGAGGGAGGTGGGGGCAGCACCGAGCAGGCAGGTCAAGGCTAGGGGTAGAAGAGTTTGTGTAGAAGGGCAGGGCTCCCCAGCCTGCAGCAACCCAGACCAGCATACAGGAGAGACTGTAAGACCAGGAGTGGCTCAAGCAAGGCTCACACGGGCTGCTTTTCCTAGCCCCTGAATCGTAAGGTGAGGTGTCCTTATACCTGTAATAAGGCTGAAGTAGGGCCACTTAGGAGAAGGGAAGTAGAAACGCAGCCCAAAGCGTTGTACACTCATGTCTCAGGTAGAAATCCAGCTAGGGTTCAACAAATTAGCTCAAGGTCTCCAGGGACCAGGCAGCACAAGCCTGCGTGTAAGGACCAGGCTGGGAGTGCCAGAGGGCGAGGAAGAAAAAGATGAGGCCGGGCACAGCAGCTCACGCCTGTAATCCCAGCACTGTGGGAGGCCAAGGTGGGCGGATCACTCTGAGGTCAGGAGTTTGAGACCATTCTGGCCTGGCCCATCTCTACTAAAAATTACAAAAATTAGCTGGGTGTGGTAGTATGTACCTATAATCCTAGCTACTGGGGAGGCTGGGACAGGAGAACCACTTCAACTTGGGAGGTGGAGGTTGCAGTGAACTGAGATCACACCACTGCACTCCAGCATGGGCGACAGAACAAGACTCTGTCTGAAAAAAAAAGAACAATGAGCAAACCACGGTCCCATGTTAGTGGGGGAGACGGACCCGAAGCTCCCAACCTCCCCCCCATCCTGGATACTGGGTGGCAAAAGGGAAGGTCCCTCTGGCTAGTGGGGAGGAGGCAGAGAGGCAGGAGGGCTTCTCAGGAGGTACCGTGTTCCAGGGACTCTTAGGATGATTTGGGGGTCTCCTTACCCTGTGAGGCTGACCCTGGGTGTCCTCCTGGAGGGGATGACCACATACCTGACCCTGAAGGGAAGTTCTGACATTTGGTGGTCACTGCAATGTTTCAGATAAATTTCCGCTGTAAGCCATCCTTCCGTGAATCAGGCTCCAGGAACGTCCGTGAGGTACGTGCCTAGGGTGGTCAGGGCCCCCTAAGATTCCTGTCTGGGCCTCTGCGCAGTGCCTCTGGAGTGCCACCAGGGGGCTCAGCTCCCGCTATGCTACTCCTCGCTGAGGTTCTGGGGTCTTCCCTGCGGTTACGTGGCTGGCGCTGCCTGCAGAGGGGGTGGGACAACTTGTGCTTCATGGTGCCTCCCAGCCTTCTCTGTCCCTCCTCTGAGTCTGAGCCTCCCCAGGGCCATGGAGAGAGTCTTCAGCCCCTCCTCTACTCATGTGCAGGACTGCAGAGAGCTTCCAGCTTCCTGCAGCCCCCACCCATTGATGTACTGAGTGGTGTGGGCGGTCCTCAGGGCTGTGTCCCCGCCCATCCCTCACCCCGGTGAAATTTCTCCCCTTCTCCCCCAGCCAACCTTCGTACGGCACCACTGGGTACACAGACGACGCCAGGACGGCAAGTGTCGGCACTGTGGGAAGGTGAGAGGCCCTGCCTGAGGACATCGGCACCTGCACCTGTGGCCTGAGGCCAGGCCGTGTGTCCCCTTACCTTTGGTCTCTGAGCTGAGCAGGCAAGCAGGGAGGAAAGTTTTCTTCCAATGCCACATGCCCGGCCTGCTTTGAAGTTGCAAGTGGCCCTCTGGAGAATCATGTAGACTTACTCATTCGGTGACTCTGAGAATACCTATGTGCCAAGCGCCAAGCTGGGCAGCAGCTTCCCACCCTCCTGAGAACAGTGTGGCTTGAAGCCAGCCTCTCCAGGCAGTCACCTAGCACAGCCCACAGTGGTTTGGTTCGCATACTTGTTTGCTGCTTGCCCGCCGCCCTCAGTAAGTGCAGGCTCTCAGAGATGGAAGGCTTGCTTCTGCACTGACGTCCGCCTGGCCCACTGCAGGCCTTTCATAACAGCCTGTGGGACAAACAGGAAATGTGAGGTACTCAGAAGCAGTGTCAATTTCTTTAAGAGCACATGGGGGCCTGGTCAGGCCTGGGGGCAGGAAGGAGGGAAAATGAGAGTGAGGCAGGAGTTAGCCTGCATTGCGGCAGATGGGTGTGCACGTGGTGCTGTGCGGGTGACTTCAGGGAGTCGAGGCCCCTGGCTGCCCAGCCCTGTTCTTCAGGCTTACTTTATCTATTTTTTTAATTTTAAAAAGTGTGTTCAAAGCTGGGCATGGCGGCATGTGCGTGTTGTTCCAGTTAATTGGGAGGCTGAGGCAGATTGCGTAAGCCCGGGTTTGAGACTAGCCCTGGCAACATAGCCAGGCTCTGTCTCTGGGTGGAGAGAGGCTGGCAACAGGAGAGGGGCTGGGTCTGCTGCTCTAGGCCTGGCCCTGGTGCCCATCCATCCTGTCCACCCTCAGGGTTTCCAGCAGAAGTTCACCTTCCACAGCAAGGAGATTGTGGCCATCAGTTGCTCGTGGTGCAAGCAGGCAGTGAGTGGTGCCCCTGCCCCCAGGGCCATGCCCTGCACTGCTGGGTTTGGGTCCCCAAGTCCCGACCCGGTCCCACTCACCCTGGCCCCGCGCTCTCCGCAGTACCACAGCAAGGTGTCCTGCTTCATGCTGCAGCAGATCGAGGAGCCCTGCTCCCTGGGAGTCCACGCAGCTGTGGTCATCCCGCCCACCTGGATCCTCCGCGCCCGGAGGCCCCAGGTGAGTGCTGCCTGCACCCTGCATGCACCCCCACGCACTTGGGGTCTGCCAGCTACCCCAGCCTGCCCACCTTGTCGCCAACCCTCCTGCTTCCCTTGCAGAATACCCTGAAAGCAAGCAAGAAGAAGAAAAGGGCATCCTTCAAGAGGAAGTCCAGCAAGAAAGGGCCTGAGGTTAGCCCCTGGCTGGGCAGGGGCTGCAGGGGTCAGGAGGGAGGGATCTGTTGCTCAGGGTACGGACCTCCCACCCCCCAGCTAATGCTGCCAGCTGGCGGGGTCCATTGGGCTCTGGAGGCTCTGAGGAGGGCAGGATCAGATGCAGTTTCTGCTCTGTGGCCTGGTAAGATCTGGCCCAGAGATGGTACATGAGGGTACACAAGGGGAACGAAGTGTCGCCCAGGGGGCCTGCTGAGGATAGCGGTAGGGTGTCCCGGACAGGAAGGAGCTTACAAGCTTGCCTTGTCTCCCAGGAGGGCCGCTGGAGACCCTTCATCATCAGGCCCACCCCTTCCCCCCTCATGAAGCCCCTGCTGGTGTTTGTGAACCCCAAGAGTGGGGGCAACCAGGTAAACACGGCCTTGCCTGTCAGCTGAGGGTCTGGGCAGGGGTTGGGGTCCAGCGCATCTGCCAGCAGCTGTTCCCAGAGTCCATTTCTGGCTACTGCCACTGTCTCTCTTTCCCAGGGATCCTGAGAAAATCCTGTCCTTTCTCCACCCCTCACCCCTTATTGGCCGTAGTTCCCATAGTGACGTCCCTCTCCCTGTGCTGCTCCCGCTTCTCCCACCGCGGGACCGCCTCCTGGCCCCTCCCTACCACCTCTTGACTCCCCATCCCATCCAGGGCGCGAAGATCATCCAGTCTTTCCTCTGGTATCTCAATCCCCGACAAGTCTTCGACCTGAGCCAGGGAGGGCCCAGGGAGGCGTAAGTACTTGCCAAGGCTTTGTGGGGGACGTGGGGGCACTTGCCTCGCTCCTGGGGTACAGCGCACATCCCCTGACCCCACTGCCGTCTTCCCATGAGCCCAGGCTGGAAATGTACCGCAAAGTGCACAACCTGCGGATCCTGGCATGCGGGGGCGACGGCACGGTGAGCTTCCCCCACGGGCTGGCCGAGCGAGAGGGCTGGGCCTGGAGCCAGCGTCCCTGTGGGCCTGACCTGCCTCTGCTCCCTCCCCCAGGTGGGCTGGATCCTCTCCACCCTGGACCAGCTACGCCTGAAGCCACCGCCCCCTGTCGCCATCCTGCCTCTGGGTACTGGCAATGACTTGGCCCGAACCCTCAACTGGGGTGGGGTAAGCACCCATAGGAGGGGCGCGCAGCCGGGGCCTCTCCAGCCACAGAGGTCTCAGTCCCTGCCTCCTCCCCCAGGGCTACACAGACGAGCCCGTGTCCAAGATCCTCTCCCATGTGGAGGAGGGGAACGTGGTGCAGCTGGACCGCTGGGACCTCCACGTCGAACCCAACCCGGAGGCAGGGCCTGAGGACCGAGATGAAGGCGCCACTGACCGGGTGGGTTGGCCGGGCCGAGGCAGGGGACTGGCTCCCACTTTCCCACTCTCTGGTTCTGGGACTTGGGGCAAGTGTCTTCATTTCTCCAACTTCCACTTCTTCCTTGTATGATGGGAATAATAGTACTTCTCTCACAAGATGCTGTGTCTTGTCTTGTTTTGAGATGGAGTCTCACTCTGTCTCCCAGGCTGGAGTGCGGTGGCGCGGTCTCAGCTCACTGCAACCTCTACCTCCCAGGTTCAAGTGATTCTCCTGCTTCAGCCTGCTGAGTCGCTGGGTCTACAGGCACACGTCACCATACCTGGCTGATTTTTGGGGTTTTTTGTTTGCTTTTTGGTTTTTTGTTTTTTTTGTTTCAGAGTCTCATTGTCACCCAGGCTGGAATGCAGTGGTGTGGTCATGGCTCACCGCGACCTCTACCTCCTGGGCTCAGGTGATTCTCCTGCCTCAGCCTCCTGAGTAGCTGGGACTACAGGCGCCCGCCGCTACACCTGGCTAATTTTTGTATTTTCAGTAGAGTCAGGGTTTCACCATGTTGGCCAGGCTGGTCTTGAACTCCTGGCTTCCAGTGATCCACCCACCTCAGCTTCACAAAGTGCTAGGATTATAGGCGTGAGCCACCACACCCAGCCAATTTTTGGATTTTTAGTAGAGATGGGGTCTCACCTTGTTGGTCAGGCTGGTTTTGAACCCCTGACCTCAGGTGATCCACCCACCTCAGCCTTCCAAAGCACTGGGATTACAGGCGTGAACCATCACACCTAGCCACAAGATGCTGCTCTATTTGGCAGACATTCACGGAGCGCCTGCTACCTGCCAGGCACTGCTCTAAGCAGTGAGCAAAACCAAGCTCCGGCTCTCGCACTCCATATGACATGCTGGGAAGAAGTGTTAGGGGAGCTGACAGGAAAGAGATGCCGCCAGGCACGCAGGGAAGTCCCCCAGGAGCCACCGGGCAGAGCAGGGCTGCGCCTGGCGGTGGGTGAGCTGGGCTGAGTCCCGGTGGACGCTGCTGACCGGGGAAGGCCTGTGAACAGATGGGCTGAGCTGGCGCAGCCACAAAAGGCCCCTGGAGGGGGACATCTGTGAGAACCAGCCCTCATTTTGGTCCCTTGACCTTTTTCCAGTTGCCCCTGGACGTCTTCAACAACTACTTCAGCCTGGGCTTTGACGCCCACGTCACCCTGGAGTTCCATGAGTCTCGAGGTTGGCAGCCTCCCGCTGAGGCCAGGGCAGGGTGGGCACAGGAGGGTCAGACCCTGCTCCCACCACTGAAGGCGTTCATCCCAGCCCTCCCCCGACCTCACCTGGGCAGGCTGGGTGACTCACTGGCCCTCACTGTTTGTCTCCACCCAGAGGCCAACCCAGAAAAATTCAACAGCCGCTTTCGGAATAAGATGTTCTACGCTGGGGTGAGTGGGGTCTGCGCCCCCTCCTGTGCCGGCTCCTTCTACCACCCGTGCCCCTGCCCACCTGTGCCCACCAGGCCCGGGAGCCCTGCCGGGTGGGGGTGAGGAAAGCTCTCTGTCAGCAGATGTGATTCCCTCTGTCTCTCACAGACAGCCTTCTCTGACTTCCTCATGGGCAGCTCCAAGGACTTGGCCAAGCACATCCGGGTGGTGGTGAGCGGGGCCAAGCTGCCACAGGGCGGGTGGGCCGGGAGGGAGGGTGCAGCTGGGCCCGTGCACCCAACACCCTCCACCCCTGCCACCAGTGTGATGGAACGGACTTGACTCCCAAGATCCAGGACCTGAAACCCCAGTGTGTGGTTTTCCTGAACATCCCCAGGTGAGGAGGGGGTCCGGGGAGCTCTGTGGTCCTTGTCCCGCAGAGACTGTGTTTTGAGGTCCGTGTCCTCACCCGCCCACCCGAGCAGGTACTGTGCGGGAACCATGCCCTGGGGCCACCCTGGGGAACACCACGACTTTGAGCCCCAGCGGCATGACGACGGCTACCTTGAGGTCATCGGCTTCACCATGACGTCCTTGGTGAGTGGGTTCTGGGCCCACAGTGCTGGGAGCACAGCCCGGAGGTCAAAGGGGGTCCCCCACACCCATCTCCATGGGCCAGGGTGGGCTGGCTCACCCTCACCTCCCTTCTCTGTCTCATTCCTCTGGCTTGAGAGTGGCACTCACCCCCTCTCCTACTTAAGTCTTGGGACACTTGCACTGCCCTTTCTGACTGGGGAGCCACCCTCATTGCCTCTGTCTCCTCCTCTCCCCACCGGAGGTCTCACCCTCCCCTCTGCTATCTGGCTGGGGGTCACTCTCACCTTTGTTCTCTGGCTAGAGTGTCTGCTCCGGAAGGAGCAGAGCTTGGGGCCTCCAGCCCGGGTGCCATCTGACCTGAGCTTCCTGTGCCCACAGGCGGCACTGCAGGTGGGCGGGCACGGCGAGCGGCTGACGCAGTGCCGGGAGGTGGTGCTCACCACGTCCAAGGCCATCCCCGTGCAGGTAGACGGTGAACCCTGCAAGCTCGCGGCCTCTCGCATCCGCATCGCCCTGCGCAACCAGGCCACCATGGTGCAGAAGGCCAAGCGGCGGAGCACTGCCCCCCTGCACAATGAGTAGGTCCCTCCCCCGCCACACTCTGGGTGCCGGGGCCAGACCCTGCCCTCTCTGGGCCTTGGTTTCTTCATCTGTAAAAGGGGCTGACTGTCCCTCTGCCCCCAGGGATGTTGGGAGTGGGGAGGGATCTGCCCTCAGCAGGTGGCTTGGTGCCGGGCTGAGGGTGCCCAGGCAAGGTCTTTGCTGAGCCCCGAGTGCCCACCCTGCCCGACAGCCAGCAGCCGGTGCCCGAGCAGCTGCGCATCCAGGTGAGCCGAGTCAGCATGCACGACTACGAGGCCCTGCACTACGACAAGGAGCAGCTCAAGGAGGCCTGTGAGTGTGGCGGGTGGCCGGGCAGGGCCCAGGCAGCCGGGTCCCCCGTGGGCAGAGCCGTGGGGTGCAGCCAGCTGCTGATGGGTGCTCTGTCCTCCAGCTGTGCCGCTGGGCACTGTGGTGGTCCCAGGAGACAGTGACCTAGAGCTCTGCCGCGCCCACATCGAGAGACTCCAGCAGGTAAGGGGTAGGGGCAGGGGCTTCCCCAGGTGCCCACCAAGAGGGTGGCGGGAAGCAAGGCCAGGCCTCTTCCTCCCGCAGTGAGCTCGCCCTCCAGAGCCTCCTCTGTGCTGGTCCCCACTGCTCCAGGTTCCCTTCCATCCCTGGCCGCTCGCTCTATCCCAGCCTGGATTTTGCCTCTTTCCACAGGAGCCCGATGGTGCTGCAGCCAGGTCCCCGACGTGCCAGAAACTGTCCCCCAAGTGGTGCTTCTTGGACGGTGAGTCTACTCCCAGGGTGCCATGCTATATGTCCTGTCCCCTCCCTAGGGGAGCCCAGGTTGGGGCGGCAGGGGACTTGGGCCTGGACACAGCGCTCCCTGATCCTCAACTGCCCCCTCTCCCACAGCCACCACTGCCAGCCGCTTCTACAGGATCGACCGGGCCCAGGTGAGCCATTGCAGGCCTGCTCCAGCCACAGCTGGTTCCGGGCCCCAGGGTTGCCTCTCCTGGGACACCTTCCCTGGTGGCTTCCCCAATGGGCTCACCTCTGTCCTCTTGCCCTGGAGTGCGTTCACACTTGTCTGTGCAGCCCTGCCCTCCACACTGGAGAGTACAGGGTGGTGCCAACCGGAAAGGTAGCCGAGTACCTAGCAAAGGCTCGGTGGGTGGGCAGGAGGGCCTGGAAGCCCAGAGCCATCCAGGGAGACATAGAAGCAAAGGCACTCTGGCAGGCGCCAGCTCACCTGGTAGGAGGCGTCAGGCATGGGAAGGAGGCGGGAGAGGGGCAGGTGGGAGGGGGCAGGCGGGTCCTTGGCCTGGCCACCTCCTTTCAGTGCTGGTGCTCATAACAGAGGCTTCTCCAGGTCTGCCAGCCTTGCTGCCCCTCGGCCCCCACTGTCAGGTGCCCTGACCTCCCACCCTGACCTCCCCCACAGGAGCACCTCAACTATGTGACTGAGATCGCACAGGATGAGATTTATATCCTGGACCCTGAGCTGCTGGGGGCATCGGCCCGGCCTGACCTCCCAACCCCCACCTCCCCTCTCCCCACCTCACCCTGCTCACCCACGCCCCGGTGAGTCCTGACGTTCCGTCCCTCCAGCCCCTGGCTTTCAGTCCCACCTGTGAGCTGAAGGCTCCTCAATTCTTCCTCCAGCCCCTCCACCAGTTGACTAAATGGCATCAACCTGAACCTGGCCAAAGCCCACCTAATGGCCTTCAGCCCTGCAATTCCCTGAGGGAGCGGCCCCTCCCTGACTTCTCTTCTCCCTCCCCTTGACCTCATCCTCCAGCCAGTTCTGACAGGCCCCCACCACCTGAGCACTCCTCCCCCGCCCCCCGCTGCCACCAGCCTGTCCCAGCCACCACGCCTTGGCCCCCAGCTCTTGTATCCCTGTGGCCACTCGTGCCCTCAAAGCCCTGACTCCACACCACGGCCAACTAAATACGCAGAGCATACCAGGCCACTCCCCCACCTAGAAGCTTCTCTCTCAGCAGCGTTTTGGACGCAGATTCTTCCCAGGCCCCGGTCATCGCATCGGGCTCCCATTCCCTCCCCAAGTCCCCACTGAAGTCCAGCCCCGCTCTCTTCTCTCGGTTCTTTGAGGCGCCAGGTTTCCACCACTGGACTGACGCTGTCTCAGCCTCAAACTCTTCCCCATCTTTCCAGAGCTCCCCCACCCCCACCCATTCGAATCTAGCTTAGCTGCTTCCTCCTTGGAGAAGCCACTCCCAGTACCTTCTGCAGGGATGCCACACCACCTGTTCCCAATCCCCAGGGCACCCCTGCTCTCAGAACTCCTTATTTATTTGACTTGTTTGCATCCCTGAACTAGAATGTAAGCTCCATGAGGGCAAGGCCTCTCTCTGTCTCATTCCCTGCTGTATCCCCAGTACCTGGAATAGTGTTTGGTGTGTAGCAGGCACTTAATAAACTGGAAAGAAGGAAGACGCCCCCGTTGGGGCTGGGGAGGGCAACCAACTGGCCCGTGCATAGCCGGCCACAGCACATTGCGCTCTGTTGCAGGTCACTGCAAGGGGATGCTGTCCCCCCTCAAGGTGAGGCCTCTCCCTCTGGGGCCCCTCCTTTCTGCCTGGTTGGGGACAGGAGGCTTAGTGGAGTGGGGAGAGGGCCCAGACTCAGCCTTACATAAACATAACTGTCGAACTCCACGTGGTCACATTCATGTACCAGCCCGGCCCTGGGCACACCTGCCCAGGCAGGCACAGTTCTATACAGTGAGGCACCAACCTCAGCCCAGGCCTCCGACTGCAGAGTAACGGGCAGGTGTTCCATGCAGGTGAAGAGCTGATTGAGGCCGCCAAGAGGAACGACTTCTGTAAGGTACTGCTCCACGGCCTCAGCTCCTTCCCCCAGCAGCCCCTTCGGGCCCCGGGGATCGAGGCCTCTGGGTTGGGCCAAGAGCTGACCTGTTCTGCCATCGTCTGACCCACTGTGGGATCTCCACGGTGATCGTCCCATTCCACCTTGTCCCATGTCTGTCCAGGCCACAATTGGTGGCTCCTAGTAGGGGCTTCCTAGCTCAGTACACCAGTGCCCAGTGCTTAGAAAGGAGCAGGTCAGAGGAACCACTGCTCCAGGGCCTGGTCACCAGTGCTGCCAGGAGCTCATAGCAGGAACTGTGAGAGGCCCCTCTGGTGCTCCAGAGAGACCCACAGAGGCGCCTCGGGAGTAAGATGTGTGAGTGCTCTTGTGTCAGGCATGTGCTGGTTTCCATGGCTGTGGGCCAGCGTGGCAGCTGGGGGCAGCAGGGGTGGCCCCAGGAGCCCCAGCCCTGCCATGCCTCCTGCCCTCAGCTCCAGGAGCTGCACCGAGCTGGAGGCGACCTCATGCACCGAGACGAGCGGAGCCGCACGCTCCTGCACCACGCGGTCAGCACCGGCAGCAAGGAGGTAGTCCGCTACCTGCTGGACCACGGTGAGCCGGGCTGTGGGGCCCAGGGTCTGTGGCCAACCGGGAGGAGGAGGGGCTGCCAGGCCTCTCTGACCACCCCTCCCCTCCTCCAGCACCCCCAGAGATCCTCGATGCTGTGGAGGAAAAGTGAGTATCTGGGCAGTACTGGACCCTGGTCATCCTGGAAACCACCATCTTTCTCCCACCCCTCCTATTTTGTCAGGCCGGAGCCCATAAACTCCTCCTGGCCACATCTGTCATCCCCTGGGCCACCCCTATTGCCCCAGGGCCCCAAACTTCCTACCCTTTGTGATGGCCCTTGGGAGAGAGGGGTCAGAGGACGGGATGGGGTCCACAGCCAGCCCCTCCTCCCCCAGTGGGGAGACCTGTCTGCACCAGGCAGCGGCTCTGGGCCAGCGCACCATCTGCCACTACATTGTGGAGGCCGGGGCCTCGCTCATGAAGACGGACCAGCAGGTGAGCAGACAGGGAGCCCATGCGCGGGCACCAACCAAACCTTTCCAGAGCTCCAAGAAGGGAGCTGGGGCTGGGGGCTGTCCTTGGGAAGACATAGTCCAGACCCTGGGAAACCTGAGCTAGCAGGGGAGGAGCTGGTGGGTGGAGAGGCCTCCCTCCCTGACTAGGCCCCTAGGAGGAAGAGCTCCTGCCTGGTCTCAGCCAGCTCGGGGTGGGCCACAGGCCTCTGGCCCCTGCTGATCACAGCTCCGCCCTCCTCCAGGGTGACACTCCCCGGCAGCGGGCTGAGAAGGCTCAGGACACCGAGCTGGCCGCCTACCTGGAGAACCGGCAGCACTATCAGATGATCCAGAGGGAGGACCAGGAGACGGCTGTGTAGCGGGTTGCCCATGGGCAGCAGGAGGGACAGCGGCCAGGGGACGAGCGCCCTCCTTGTCCAACTTACTGCCACATTCCAGTGGGACGGTTACGGGGGGACCCAGGCCCCAGGGAAGGAGCCCCATGCCGCCCCCTAAAGAGCTGCCCAGACCTAGGGCTGGACTCAGGAGCTGGGGCCTCATCTGACCCCTTGAGGCCCCCGCCGGACACGGAGGCTCACAAGGGACCAGGACACGGCTGGGTTGGACATGCCTTGTGGGGGTTCTGGGGCAGGGCGCTCCCTGGCCGCAGCAGATGCCCTCTGAGGATTGGAGGGTCTGGAGAGGGAGGGAGGCCTTCGGGAAGAGGCTTCCTGGGCCACCTGGTCTTTGGCTGGGCCCCCAGCCCCCGCTCCCGCCACACACCCCCTCCCCTGGGCTTCCTCCCGGAAGCTCAGCGCCTGCTGCATTTGCCCGCCCTGTCCTGCTTGGCACCCGCTCCGGCGACCCTCCCCGCTCCCCCGTCTTTTCAACGCGGACTGTGCGGCCTGGGGGTGGGGGGCGGGAATCTCGGTGACATGTTTACAGCTGGGTGTGACTCAGTAAAGTGGATTTTTCTTTTCTGCTTTTCTTATTTTGCGGGGGAGGTCTTAACAAGCAGCGGGGGCTGCCGGGTTGTCCTCGGGGTGGGGACTGGACGCCGTCGACAGCACCTTCCCTGGGCCCAGGTTCCTGACCTCTGCCCAGCGGCCGAGCTCGTCGGGGCAGGGGCCGGGGGCGGGGCCGATCCCTCCAGCTTCCCGCTTCCCGCGGGGAACAACAATGAAAGTGAAAGAGGGGTGGGGCGGGGGCGAACCCAGGCTCTGTGGCCCATGTGCCCTATGACCTTGAGCAAGCACCTCCCCCAGGCCTCGGGGGCTCTCCTGGTTTGGAGGGACCAGGCGAGGCGATGCCGCAGGCCCGGGGTCAAAGCGGGTGGGCTTTTGCAGCGGCCGCTGTGGCTGGGTCTGGAACTTCTCAGACGGCTCCTGTCAGCGCGAAGTTTCACCAAATCCAGACCTGCGGGCTCCTCCCCCAAGACCCCCACTCGCCGCCCCTCAAGCCTGTGCTCCCGGAAGGGCGGTGGGCGCCCGCACTCGTGGCTTTCTCTGGGGACCCGGGTCCCAGACTCCCCCGGCAGCACAACAGAACGCCTCCCTGCCCACCCACGGAAACGGGCCCAGGTGGGGCCGCGCCCCCTCCCCAGCAGCCAGCGGGGCGCCAGGGCTGAGCCCGCCGTGGGAGGGGAGCGGGCCCGGCGGGTTATACGGGCGCGGGGGTCTGCGTGCCCTGCTCGTCCCCAGCGGAGGCTCCGCGGCCGGCCAGGGAAGTGGCGGCCTGAGAACGGCCAGGGACCTGACGTCTGGCAGGGGACGACCCGGGATGGGGGTCAGTGGGCGGCGGTGCAGGAAGCCCGAGTGGGCCGGGAACGGGTGTGCGCGGGCGGGACGAGGCCTGGGGCTAGGAGACCCCGGCTCGGAAGATGGGTCCGGGAAGGGCCGCCGTCGCAGTGCAGAGGGCACCGGCGGGGCGAGACGAGGCGAGGGCGCGGGGCTGGGTGCAAGGACGCGGGAGCTGAAGCGAGGGGTCGCAGGCGGGAGCGGGGGCGGGGACGCCGTGGTCGGGGGGCGGGGCGGGTCCTTCCCTGGGGGGTGGGGAGAGGGGGCGGGGGCCCATGTGACCGGCTCAGACCGGTTCTGGAGACAAAAGGGGCCGCAGAGGCCGGAGCGGGACAGGCCTGGCGCGGGAGGGAACGAAGTAACGCAAGCAGCGAGCGAGCGAGCGCACGGCCGCCCCAGGTCCGCCCGGCCGCGGCCGATCTGAGGGCTGGGGGCTGAGGGCTGGGGGCTGGGGGTTGGGGACGGGGGGGTGGTGTCCGAGCTGCGTCCTGGGCTCGATGCGTCCCCCGGGAGTCGCCTCCCGGCGGTGCGTCCGGGCCAACGGCGAGGGGCCGGCCCCAAGTCCTCCCACAGCCGCCACCTTAGTAGCCCGACTGGAGGCCTGGAAAGTGGGGCACGCGGGGGTGGGAGGGCCCTGCACGCGGTCCCCGATGGGGAAAGGGACGGGACAGGGACTCTGACTCGCGCTCTCCCCCCAGGATGCAGCACCGAGGCTTCCTCCTCCTCTCTCTCCTTGCTCTGTTGGCGCTCACCTCCGCGGTGGCCAAAAAGAAAGGTGATGAGGGATGATCGAAGGCGGGCTGGGGACGGGCAGGCGAGGCTCCACCACCTCCGGGCTGGGCCCCCCGGGTTCCCAGCCTGGAACCCCAGGAGGGCGGCCCCCGAGGGAGTCTCCCCGTGCACCGGTCCTGAACTCTGTTCCCCGCGCGTTGTAGACAAGGTGAAGAAGGACGGCCCGGGGATAGAGTGCGCGGAGGAGTGGGCCTGGGGGCCCTGCACCCCCAGCAGCAAGGATTGCGGCGTGGGTTTTCGCGAGGGCAGCTGCGGGGCCCAGACCCAGCGCATCCGGTGCAGGATTCCCTGCAACTGGAAGAAGGAGTTTGGAGGTGAGGCGGGGCGCAGGCGAAGGGCAGGAGAGGGGGGCACAGCCTCGCCGAAGGCGGGGCAGACTCGTAGAGGGAGGCCGCGGGCTGCGCAGCGCTGACCCAGGCCGCTCTCCCGCCAGCCGACTGCAAATACAAGTTTGAGAACTGGGGTGCGTGTGATGGGGGCACTGGCACCAAAGTCCGCCAGGGCACACTGAAGAAGGCGCGCTACAATGCCCAGTGCCAGGAGACCATCCGCGTGACCAAGCCCTGCACCCCCAAGACCAAAGCCAAGGCCAAAGGTCAGTGAGAGGAGAAGGGGGTGGGGCTGTCGCAGAGGGGTGCTCCCCCTGCCCCGCGCCTGTGAGGAGACTTCCAGGTTAAACCTTAAGTTTTGAGTCCTGGTCAGTGGCTTCCTGACATCGCCTCACTCGACTATCCCGCCTGGAAAAGTCTAGAGATGGGCAGTACAAGAGGGCCCGCAGGTGGTGCTGGGGACATAAATCCTCCCTGGCCCAATTAGGGACCAACTCAAACTACTCCATTGGAGCATCTGGATTAGGACCCAGAGAAAGTGCCCTGGAACGGCTGGCCTTTGTCAGCTCTCCAGCCACGGGCAGCATTCGGTCAGTTCTGCCCTTTCCAGTGTAGGGAGGAGGTTGGGGGGACCCTGGGCCTCTCTTAGCTTACTCCTGACTCAGCCCAGCGAGGCCGGCAGGGCAGGGGTGAATCTGCCCGCCTCTCAGGTGAGGAGGCTGAGGCTGTCCAGGGCTGCTGTGACCAGGACCGGGCCTAGGAACTTGAAGCTTTTCTGATCCCAAGTGGAAATAGGAAGCTGGGGGTGTCTGATGTCCACATCACAATGGCTGCCCCATCCCCTACTTCCGGGTCAGCTGATCGGAAACCACTAGGGGGCAGAATCTCCCCCTTCCCTGATGCCGCGTGTTTGTGGAGCGGGCGGTCTGCAGTGGGTCGCCCTAAACGCTGATATGGTATTAATATTTCTTTCTTGTTTTACAGCCAAGAAAGGGAAGGGAAAGGACTAGAGGCCAAGCCTGGATGCTGAGGAGCCCCTTGTGTTACCTGGGGACTGGCCCACGCCCTTCCTTTCCCTGGCCTGAGATATGACCCGCCAGTGCCTTCTGTCTGCTTGTTAGCTTTAATCAATCATGCCCTGCCTTGTCCCTTTCACTCCCCAGCCCCACCCCTAAGTGCCCAAAGTGAGGAGGGACAAGGGATTCTGGGAAGCCTGAGCCTTCCCCAGAGCAATGTGAGCCCCAGAGCCCACTTTGTTCTTCCCCACGATTCCATTACTAAGAAACACATTAAATAAACTGAATTTTTCCCCCAATAAAAGCTTTTCTTTTTTAATATATAAAAGCCCCATCCCAAGGAATTTGCTGTGGAAATGTGTCTGGGGAGGGGAAGCTGGGGAGAAAGACCAGGCTGCAGGGACTGGTGGATTTCAGGTGGTTGGAGGCCTGGTGGTGGGTGCTCCCCAGAGCTCATGGAAAAAGAACCATTTCAAAAATTTCTTCCAGGGCCCCTGAAAGGGTGCCCCCCCCCCATCAAATCCCCTAAGCCTTTCAGTCCTCATCTCTCCCAGGGACCAGGGCTGGGAAAGGGAACCTGGCTGACTCACCGGAACCACCACACCCATCTCAACCTCGCCCAGTCAAAGGTCAATCAGGAAGGTTCTACCCATGGGGGGCAGTAGGTGTGGGGGTTGAGTGCCTACCTCATTGCCCACCCCCACCGTCACAGAAACCCGAGGTCGACCCCTTTCCTCTTGCCTGTGTGACCCAGGCCTCCTTCACCTTCCAGAGGCCAGAGGGTGAGAGGTTTAAAGAGAGCAGATGGGAACGCTGCCCACCACAGCCTCACCCTGACTTGGTGTGTGACCTGGGACAGCCTTCCAAGGCTGGGGCGGCAGGGGGCTGTCTTCCGAATAAGTGGACCACCCTCGGCTCAGCCTGGGATTGCAGGAAGCCAGACCTCAGTTCCTGAGAGAGAACCCCTGACCTCCCCGCTGCCCCATCTTACTGTGACAAGGGCAGTGCTGCTGGGGCTGGGGGGACCTGGCCTCCATCATGCCCACCCAGAACCTGGCTACGCAGCTGCAGCCAGAGATTTCTGCCCCTGGAGTGGGATTAGGGGAGAGGGGACTGAGCCTACATGCGGGGTGCAGGGGGGCAGAAAGCACCGATTACAGCAGAATGGGGGACCCCACCCCTCCATGCCCTTCCCAAGCCTCCTTCCAAGCACTGGCCCCTTTGTTCCTCCCGAGGGGGCCCTGGACCTCAGCCCCCTCCAGATGTCCATTCTTCCAGCTCTGCTGATGGTTGGTCACAGTGGGGCAGGTGCCCACCCAGGCCAGTGCCAAGGCCACAGAGGTGGGCCAGGCAGCCCCAGTTCAGCAGACACTCCCTGGGGTGAGCCTCCTCAGCCTGAGCAGAGATCTGATCTCTGAATACAGCCAGAGCCTCTTCTGAACTTCCTCTTCAGCAAACGCGAACACGGAATGGTGCCTGCAACTCTTCCCCACAGCAGGTGAGCCGTGTGGGCCCCCAGCACACACACGCAACCCCAGCACCTCCTAGAGCACTCCTGCCTGCCTACCTGGCAGTGCCGATATTCCGATACTGGCACAACAGCAGGTGCCGGAAGGTCTTTTTAAAGGTGGCATTGCAGAGAGCATAGCAGGCGGGGTTGATGGTGCTGTTGACGTAGCAGAGCCAGTAGCCGATGGACCACACCGTGTCAGGGATGCAGCTCTGGCAGAAGGTGTTCACCAGGACCATGACGTTGTAGGGTGTCCAGGTGAGGATGAAGGCTAGCAGAATGGCAAAGATGGTCCGTGTCACCTTGCGCTCCCGGGCCGCCATCTGCCGCTTCTTGCGCACCTGGTTGCGAGCGATGCTGGCGAACTTGCGGGCCACGTTGGCCGCGGGACGCATGCCGGCCGGCGTGGCAGGCACAATCTCGATGGCTGTCACGCACTCATTGCCCGTCTGCTTCGTCACAATCTGGATCTTGGACCATTTGGAGGCTGGGTTGAGGGCCCGAGGCTGCAGGGGAGGGGCGGGCATGGCAGGCGTGG